ACATGTAATGCTAAACTCAATGGTGAAAGACTGAAAGCTTTTCCCCTAAGATCAGGAATAAAACAAGCATGTCTGCTTTCAATACTTCTCCTCAACGCTGTACTAGAAATTCAAGACCGTATGGTTAGGCCAATAAAAAAAATAAAATAAGGGGCGCCTGGGTGGCTCAGTGGGTTAAGCCGCTGCCTTCGGCTCAGGTCATGATCTCAGGGTCCTGGGATCGAGTCCCGCATCGGGCTCTCTGCTCGGCAGAGAGCCTGCTTCTCTCTCTCTCTCTCTCTCTGCCTGCTTCTCTGCCTACTTGTGATCTCTCTCTGTCAAATAAATAAATAAAATCTTTAAAAAAAAAAAATAAAAAAATAAAATAAAAGGCAAATGAATTGGAAAGGAAGAAATAAAGTTCTATCTCCTTGTAAAGTTGTAGGATACAAAAATCTGTTTTATTTCCATACACTGGTCATGAACCACCAAAAAAATTAAGAAAACACTTCCATTTACAATAGCATCAAAAACAATAAATACTTTGGAATAAAATGAACCATGGAGGTGATAGATCTGTACACTGGCAACTACAAAATTATAAAACAGGAATAAACTAAAGAAGACCTACAGAAATAGATATCCTATGTTCATGAACCAGAGAACTTCATATCAAGATGACCATATTACATTAGAGGTTGAACTGTGTCCCTCAGAAAGATTACTTGGCAGCCTAATTCCTGGTACTTGGGAATGTGATGCTATTTGGAAATAAGTCTTCACAGATGCAATCCATTAATAGGAGATCATACATGATTACATTGGCCCATAATGCTGTATGACTGGTGTCCTCATCAAGAAAATTTGGACACAGGGGCGCCTGGGTGGCTCAGTGGGTTAAAGCCTCTGCCTTCGGCTCAGGTCATGAGCCCAGGGTCCTGGGATCAAGCCCCACATCGGGCTCTCTGCTCAGCAGATAGCCTGCTTCCCTCTCTCCCTCTGCCTGCCTTTCTGCCTACTTGTGATCTCTGTCTGTCAAATAAATAAAATCTTAAAAAAAAAAAAAAATTTGGACACAGGCAAGGAGGAAAGACAACCATGTGAAGATGACAGTAAAGACTGTAGTCACGCTGCTGCTACCAAAAGATCTAACAGGCAAGGAAGGAACATATGCTAGAGATTTCAGAGAGAGCATGACCCTGCCAATACCTTGATTTCACAACTCTAGTCTCCAAAACTGTGAAAGAATAAAATTTGTTATCTTAAGCCACTTTCATTATGGCAGAGGGGGAATGGGAAATTACTGTACAGAGACTATTTGGAGTGAAGAAGTTTTGGAAAATAGAGAGTAGTTCTGGTTACAAACACTGTAGATTTAACATGCCACTGAATTACACACCTAAAACAGGTTAATTTCCATAGACGGAATAGAAAAAGTTATCAGGATCTATCATGCAGGAAGCACCAAGCCCAAAGAGTTCCACAGGGAATCCTACTAAACTTCAACACTTTCAGAGGCTATAGATTTCCTTTGCTATCCGAAAGTAGAGAGCATTTTTTTTTTTAGATTTTATTTATTTGAGGGGCTCCTGGGTGGCTCAGTGGGTTAAAGCCTCTGCCTTTGGCTCAGGTCATGATCTCAGGGTCATGGGATTGAGCCCCACATCGGGCTCTCCGCTGAGCAGGGAGCCTGTTTCCCCCCCTTTCTCTGCCTGCCTCTCTGCCTATTTGTGATCTCTGTCAAATAAATAAATAAAATCTTTTTTAAAAAAGAAGGTTTATTTGAGAGAGTGAGTGTGTGTGCACAAGTGGGGGTGCAGAGGGAGAAACAGGCTCCTCACAGAGCAGGGAGCCCAACATGGGGCTCGAGCCCAGGACCCTGGGACCGCAACCTGAGCCGAAGGCAGATGCCTAACCAATTGAGCCACCCAGGTACCCTGATCTTTGAAAAGTAGAGCATTATGAAACCTCTCGTAAGCTGAAATGTTTGTGTAAAGCAAAGCAACTGCCATTAATTTATATGGAAAACACTTTAGTGTTCCCAGACCCAAAAAGTAACCTCTCCTAGGCTTGTAACCTCTCAGCACACACCTTGCTAACACAAAAGCACAAAATAAACCAAGAAAAACCACACACACTCACAGACACGGTTCACAGCTATGGTGGCTTGTCGAGATGCGGAGCAGAGTTCCGGGGCGGGGTGGAGGGGGGTGCACTCGGCAGGGCCACTCTCGCAGCCTGAGGTGTGCGCTGCCTCTAAGATGACCTGCTGCAAAACAAACGCTGAATACTATTTTCGCTTTTTACATAAAAGTGAAAATCCTCTTCGAATTTCTTTTGCTTAGTGGAAACAGGGACAAATGGAGGTCTTTTGCACAAGTGGCGTCACGCAAATTTTCAAAAATCGGGGCACACCTGTATATAGGAAAAAAACCAAAACCACAGAAGTGGGACACACTGAAACATCACCCTGAATAAAGCAGCATCATTTCAAACTGCCATATGCTGAAGGCACAGCTTACACCACCAGGAATGAGACAAGGACACCCACTCTCACGCATCATGGTATTGGGAGATCCTAGGCAGGGCGATAAGGAATGACAATCTTAACAGAGAAACAATCTGAAATTAGCAAATCAAACTGCTGCTATTGGAGACAGAGAAAACACAAAAGTATAAATTATTAGAAATAACAGAAGGAAATGAAGTGGGCCCAGAAAGTTAAAGGCAGTTCTTGGGAAGTAATTTGGGACAGGGAGTTGGGTGGAGAGGAGACATGCGCTTAGGTATCACCATTTATTATGAAGAAAAAATTGGAACAATTCCTCTCCACTACGCTGCCCTCCACCTTAACCAACTTTGCTCCAGCTTAGTTGCTTTTTCTCCAGGGGACTCTAAGCAAAAGACTACTCCACGAGAAAGGATTCTCCCTTTTCATCATCAAAGGGTTTGACATATCCTTCATCCTCTGTCTCTCCTTGATTCCTTTTCACATTCCTCCTCATTTCTCTGCCTGGAGTGGGGGCTTCCCTAGCTCTTCTGATATCTGGATGCTTTTCCACACACACCTATCAGTTACTGGTATGTTTACAGAGAATCCTCGATTCCTGCATCTCCCCTCACCAACTCCCTCAAAGCAAAAACAAAAACAAAAACAAAAACAAACAAAAAAAAACAGCCATTGTTAAGGAAAACCCCAGTTCTACCTCCCTCATGGGGAAAAACCCAGTTCTTTGCTGCTGGGAGTCTTTCTCCTGGGTCTCCTTTACGCCTCACAGAAAACACTGCACTTCTAACACTTATGGTCACCAAATGTGTGGGGATTCGTCCCTGCAACAAAAACTAAGTCACACCGTATCTCCGATACCATGCACCTGGAGAGAGTGGCGGATCCCAGGAGAATAGATTAGTCCCACATGACTGCCCCCACCCTACTTCAGATGCCCAAGAGCAAGTAGTTAAGCCCCCAGCTTACTCACCACTTGTTTGATCTGGCTACAAATCAGAGGCGCTCCCATGACCCCCTCCCTCAAGTTGGATTAATTTGCTGGAGTGGCTCACAGATCTCAAAGAAACACTTACTATTACCAGTTTATGAAAAGATGATAAATAGTACGGATGAAGAGCCAGATGAAGAGATACATATTGTGAGGTCTGGGAGGAGGGGATCCAAGTGGAGGAGCTTCTGTCCTTGCGGTGTTGGGGTACATCTCTCCATACCCCTACTACTGGGGTTTTATGGAGTTTTCCTCATGTAGGTGTATCAACTCACTCCGTTTCCAGTCCCTCCTCCCCCTCTGGAAAATGAGGCAGGGGCTGAAAATCCAAGCTAATCATGGTTTGGTCTTTCAGGGGACCAGTCCCACCTGGGAGCCATCTGATCGCCCAGCCTAAAGCGTGTCATTAGAACAAAAAATGATCCTAGAATTCTTCTCACTTAGGAATGCATGTACAAGGGTTTCAAGAGCCCTGTGTCAGGGGTAGGGGTCAAAGGCCAAATGTTGGGACAAAGGATACTTCTAGAGTTGTTACTTAGGAGATGACACTGCTTTCAGAAGCTCTGCGTCAGGAGCTGAGGACAGACCAATACATATGCTCAACCATCCCAGTCCCCTGACTCTGGTAACCCCTCGCCATACTGGTATCCTGTTGTTCTCATGGCACTCCTCTGAAACCAGCTTTCTTAGGGGTTTGGTGACCTGTTTAGTGGTACCCATCCCTTTCAAAGCTACGTTCTTTGAAAGCAGACACCTTGAATGTTTACACTCTTCCTCAATAAGAGCAGTTTCTGAACAGGAAGTTGACAAATATCTGAATAAAGAGGTGAACAAAAGCTATGTACTGAGCACCTACATTCATCTATTCCCTTGATGAATATGTCAGTGATCCCACCTTATTTAAAAAAAGTGCTTTGAGGGGCGCCTGGGTGGCTCAGTGGATTAAGCTGCTGCCTTCGGCTCAGGTCCATGATCTCAGGGTCCTGGGATCGAGCCCCGCATCGGGCTCTTTGCTCAGCGGGGAGCCTGCTTCTCTCTCTCTCTCTGCCTGACTCTCTGCCTACTTGTGATCTCTCTCTCTGTCAAATAAATAAATAAAACCTTTAAAAAAAAAAAAAATAAATAAATAAAAAATAAAAAAATAAAAAATAAATAAAAAAAGTGCTTTGAAAAGAAACTCACCCAACTGCGTGGTGTTCAAAGTGGGAATGCTGAAAGCAAAATGAAAGGGAAATTGGGTAAACAGACCAGAAGGAAAAGTGCTGGGAGACTCTCTCTTTTTATATCCAGCACTAAAACAGCACCTGCAGGGTCGATTTTTGACCGGTGCTTGTCGATGTAATGAGTAAGTGAGCCCCAGTTGGATCCAGAAATAGGAGTCCCCACCACAGCGTTTGTTGTGTTTTCTCTTGTTTTCATAGTTTTCTTCAAAGCCACACCATCCCTCGGGAAATCCACTGCCACAGCTCCAGGATCCACTGCTGCCCCTCTTTCCCATCAGGTCAGCTATGCATTCTCATTAAGTCAGGCCACTGAGGTCGAGTTAGTCAACTCCATGTCGGCCCGCTGTAGTGCCTGCAACATTTCCTGCAACTTGGCATGCACGCGGGCGAGCTCCACTCTGTTGAGGTTCCCCCACCTGTATTCATCCAAGTACACAACACACTCAGCAGGGACAGGGTACTGCACACGCTTCAGCTCCTTCAGCGCCGCTAAGTGCTGCAGCACGTTCATGATGCCTGAGGTGGAGATGACATTGTCGTAGAACACCAGAGAGCGGAGGTGGGAGCAGCAGCACAGGGCAGGCAGCAGGGCTCGGAGCTGGGCTTCCTTCAGCCGGCAGCTTCTCAAGTTCAGGTGCTGCAGAGTGCCTGAGACCTCCCCCAGCAGAACCTCGAGGGGCCCAGGAACCATCTGGGATAGATTATTGCCACAGAGGACCAACTCCTTCAGGTGGGTGGCATGAATGCTCTGGGACAAGTAAGTGATGTCATTCTCAGTAAGCCTACATCCATTAATCACCAGTGTCTCTAGTGGTTTTTGCAGGCCACTGTGGAGAGACAAACACTGTTTACTCCTTGGAAATTAGAGTGTACACTAGATGCACTGGGAAAAGATCCAGAAATCTGGCCTGAGAAATTTGCACTACGCCTACCTCAGTCTGGATGCAAATGGTGGGAGCCATCTTCTGCAGCAGTTAAGAACACAGAGCGTGGAATGAAACATTTCTCCATTCCCCACAGGACCTATTTTCAGAGTATGGTGTCGGGCACCCCTCTTAGCTTCCTAACAAGCCATGTCGACACAGTTATCACTCATGCTCCATAAAGCATAGAATTAATGAAATTTAGATGTAACTCCTACTCATGGTAAGGCCTAGATTCTACTCGGTAGAAGGTTCAGGAAGATGGTTCCCCATGCTTCTATTTACTCAAAGACCCATGCCCCAGGAGAACAACTCCCTATTCCAGGGCGTACCACAGAGAAATCTGAGAGACATTTATGAGGAGAGTCAGTTCACCAAATCAGCTCAGCTTAGATGTTGTGGGGGGCAGTTTTCTCCCTCAAACACCACCCTCACAACTTACCATCCTTATTCACCTTCTCTACATAAACTCTATAGACAGATTTTTTTCAAGGCTGCATATCCATTCTTAGCTAACTGCTTGGCACAGACTAAGAGCATGAATGAATGAATGAATGGAGTGAGTGAATGAATGAGTGGATGAGATGACAATTTCAGACCTGCCTCTTTCTCTTCTATAGCAGTCACCAGCCCCTGGCTGGCCCAGGACCACCACCCTGGAGTCTGGGTCCAGCAGCAACTCTGTGGACTCACAGAAGAGAAGCCCAGGCTTGTCTCTGCTCCAATGCAGCAATGCCCAGAGCGGCGTCCAGGCGCCCTGGCCTATCTTCAGAGGACTTGCCGCACACTCACCTCAGCATCTTCTGTAGCTGGCCTGAGAGACAGCCAAAGATGAGATGGAGCTTCTGGAGGTGGCCCAGTGGACTCAGCAAGGAGAAACAGTCTGCAGGGAAATCCCAGGGGATGTCGTTCATGATGAGGTGGCCCAGGTTGCTCATCTGCCCTACGTGGGTGAAGAACTGGATCAGGTCCGACCGGAAGCAGAACCTGCTCCTGTGATGAAGCCTCACCTCTCGGATGGTCTCCAGCTCCAGCATTCCCAGGATCTCGACAAGGCTGCGCAATGGCACCTGGTTGATGACCAGGGTCCGACAGCGGAGGCGCAGACAGCCATGGCTCTTCTCAACTCTCTGCAGTATGTACGAGGGGAACCCCGACAGGTGGAAGAAGCCGAACAAACCGCCGAGGAAAAGGTCTGTGTGGATTTCCACAGGTTCTCGGTGATGCGGAGGCTGTTCTTTGGAACTGGGCGCCAGCGGGTCTGCCTCTGGCTCTTCCAGCATGTGTGTGATGACAAAGGGAGCAGGAGTCGTCTCAGAGCACTCCTCCCAGTTGGAGTGCTCAAAGTCATGGGTAAAATCCAGCACCTTCAGCTTCGATTTCCTGCAGGGAATGAGGAGGATAGTAGAGACTGGGACTTCCAGGCCAGTACAGCAGGGCTGGGAGGAGACCAGCAGCAGTGAACCCTGGAAAGGGCCGCTAGGCCAGCCAGCAGCCCTGCCTGCTGCCCTGCACCATGTGTTCAAGGGCCCTCCTCAGTGCCCACCTTTTTATACACTCCGGGGATACCACCCGGAAACCTACCCATCCCCTTAACCACCTCAGCAGAGTGATTGGCTCTGAACTGCACCAGGGCCCTCTTCTCAGAGGGACCCTGAGCAATGGCTCAAGGCTTCCCAATGATTGACATTGTACCTGGTGGCACATGCCTGGGCCCTGCATCCCTGAATCCAGCTCCCGCTTCCTCAGTCACTGCGCCACTATCAGCACCCTGTCTCTCCAGTTACCTGGGGCAAGCAGCACTGGTAGGAACCAGTTCCAGCCCATCTAGGACAGCTTCCAAGAGGTCTTGAGTTATTGACTGATCTCTTAATGATCCAAGATGGAGGCAGGGGAAGGGCCAGGCCTGCACCATTGCTGTCACAGTCTTCGTGTGTCCCCCATCAAAAGCTGCCGTGGACAGTGCTGGGAAGAGGCCCACAGGGAGCTTCTCCAGGGCACGGACAGCTGAGTCCTCATCATTCAGGAGGCTCTGTGCTGCAAGATCCAAGAGGCTGAGAGGGTCTTGTCCACTCATCTCCACTGACCTGCTGCAAGGTAAGGGAAAATCCTCAGTGCATTTTCACGGTGCTCAGCCCTCCCTCTTTTGGGCCAGGACAACCCAGCCTCCACCACCCTTCTTAGCAGGAAGTGAGATCCCTGGAGGTCCCCTATCCTCCTTCCATCCTACCACTTCTAGTTCTAAATCTGGAGCACGTTCTCTCTCTCTCTCTCTCTGCTGGTGGCACCGGTGTCCCTTACTCTGATCCCAGCTGGCTGAAAGGAGAGTAATTAGGGCTTTATCTCTGTTCCTGACTGAGCTTCACAGAGCATAAATTTTTCCAAAGTTAGTTTCTCAAACTTTCCCCAAGATTATCACCATCTCCAACATGATTTTAAGGACTGGACAACCATCTCTTTCCCTAGTCCAGTGGCAACAGGTCAGGTCCTGAGCTTTTGTTTGCCTTCTCTGGTAGGCAGGCAGGCCTTACTAAAATGGTAATGGCAACTTTCCACATGTTCAGATCTGGACTCCTTCCTGCTCTATACAGTGCATTCCTACTCACAATCCACCAGGCTTCAATGCAAATCAGAGGCAAGAAAATTATTTTCAAAAAATCAGAAAGATCTAAAACTCCTCTTACGGTGCTAGTAAATTTTTGACACAAAATGTCAGAGAAAGGTAAGAGAAAGGAAAATTAAAGCACCATCCCAAGTGTAAGTAGATACAATAGTTCTGGATAAAATATTACCAAACAGAACGAACCAGTGTCTCATGACCAAGCAGAATCACAGAGCGTTTCTTCCAGGAACAAAAGGGGAGTGACACATTGGAGAATCTATTAGTGAACTTCTGATTACACTTGGACGACTGAACATGAGTGCTCTGAGCTGTCACTTGAAAACCCAAATGAAATAAAGGAAGAGCTAAAACCAGAAGGTCAGAGAGGAGAAGTTAAGACACCCCTGCTCTTTAAGAAAAAGGCAAGTTTTGGAACCTAGAAAAAGGTGGATCAGAGGAACTAGAGTTTGGACTACAGAAGCTAAAACCTCAGCCTGTGTGGATGGTGAGTCAGAAATCAATTGCAGAACCCGCAAAGGCCTCAGGAATGATACCCACAAGCAGGGCCCTGGGCAAGGGCCAGAGCGCTTGGCCAGCCCTGTGGTAGCAGTCTCTACAAACACATGGAACATATGCATTTCCCTCCACCCCAGCACAGCCAGCAATCCACACCCGGGACCCACCTTCCTCCAGTTCCACCCTGACTCTGCTCTGCTGCTCCCTGGAGCCACTCTCAGCCCTCACCCTACAGCAGGCTGCTCTTCCCAAGGGAACGAGGGGACTACGAGAGAGCTGGTTTGGTAAATAATGATTTTAACCATCAAAACGCTGGACTATGACCCGACTGAGCATTTTCCGCCTATGTATAAGTGAGAAGGGGCACCTGCTCAGAGCTGAGGCCCAGTAAGCAGCACCAGGCCCCAGTCACAATCCACCAATTGTTCTGATGGCAGAGCTCGTCTGAAGGAGGCAGGGCCCTGGCTGCAAGAAGTGGCTATGTCTGAAGCCCCCCTCCCCCGCCCGTGCTTCTGAAATGGCCCACTTCTTTGAAGGAACAGCCCAAGGGAAACCACACGTGGGCCCCTAGGGGCGTCTCTGCCCTTGCCCCTCCTTCATGCCCCTCTCACTTGGTTAAGACTAAGTCCAAATACCAAACCCTTCAAGGGGGATGTATATTCTACTGACATCTGCACAAGACACAGAGAAGAGACTCCCCAAAACTCGGCAGTGAAAACTCCTCACGTTCTCAATCTCCCTTCCCCTCCCCTAAGCCTGTCAGCCTTCCTGCCAAATGCCTTCCTTGGGAGGAGCTGTTCACACCTCCAGCTTCTCCCCACTGAAGCCCCTAGGCATCTCCCTGCTGCGCCCTCCTGAAGGACCTTCACCAACCTCCCACTATACTGCTGAAAGATGCTATAAACACATATTCAAAGTGTCACACTGATTTTCTTAGGGCCTTCTCCTAGGTTCCAATGCATCGATTCTCCTCATCTTGTCTTCCCTCCATTATTCATTGTAGATTCCCTTCAAGGTCCCTACCATTCTGCTGTCCTTGCTAGCGAGCCAGGTGGTCTGGCTCACACCTCATCTCCGAGGGGTCCAAGCCCCTGCACCCTGTGCCTCTTGCAGTGAGGGCTGTAGCACAATGAGGCAAGGGAGTACTGAGACCCTAAATGGATCCCTCGGGAGTCAAATTTATTCCTCTCTATCCCCTGGTTTAAAAGCAGCTCTATTCTCTCCTAATCTGGGTCAATTATTCTCACCAAGATGGGGGCTCCTTTTTCTTACCAGTTGGGTGCTGGACACAAAGAGGATAAAGTCTTCAGGCACTGCTACAGCTTCTAACCCAGCAGGATCTTTTGCTTCACAATGGACGGTGGCTGAACCTAACCAACTTTATGACTTCGCGGGTTTGACAGAACTTCCCTCATGACAAGCATTTCTGGCCATAGGGTCATGTCGTGTCTGATGGCCCTCTGCCAGGCCCACTAGCACTACAGGAACTGCTTTATAAGCACATGAGTCACCTCTGTAGACTTCGCGGCCTGGCTCCAGACCCCTAAGAAGGTACCTTTTCCTACCACTGATACCCCCAGTCCCCTCAGATTGGCACCATCTTGTGGCCCAAGCACCAGGGCTGCTTTCACGGCAGCTTAGACTTTGCTCCTCTGCAGAGAACGTTCCTAGTCTGGGATACACTCGAAGTCACAGTCTTTTTGGGCACCTTGGTGGTTCAGTCAGTTAAGTGTCTAACTTCAGCTCAGGTCATGATCTCCAGATCTGGGGATCCAGCCCAGTGTCCGGCTCCATGCTTAGTGGGGAGTTTGCTTCTCCCTCTGCCCCTCCCAATTCCCCTGCTCATGTACACAGGAGCACTCTCCAATATACCTTAAAAAAATGGGGCAGTCTTTTGTGTCTGGTATACAGGCCAAAGAAGCGTTCCAAGATATGGAATATGTTGTCTCCAAAACCTGAGGAGTCCTACCAGGTGTCATGCTTCCTTCTTTGCCACGGGAGGTGCAAATTGTGATAATTCATCTTTTCCTTTGGATGGTATGACCCAGCATGTCCTGGGGCACTCCAAGCTCTTCTCATGCAGCAGATCCTTGAATCTTCACAGGCACATCTCCAAAGATGCAATGCATGTTTCTTACCAAGGCTTCCAACCTGTCAGCCATTTCTCCCTAATCTCGCTCGAATGGCATGTAGTCAGAGTAGTGAACTGGTGTGATGTTCTGTGGATGCCCGGTTGTAGGTGGTCCAGATCTCTCTTCCTGACAGAGGCAGGAAGGGCATAATCCTGGGGCAAAATTAAATGTAGACTCTCGCCTGTTCTGCGTGAAAGCAGATGGTACCTGATAGGGACAGAAATGAACACATTTGCCAATTAATGTTTGTATACCATATACCCGAGACTTCATTAATCCGGCTTGAGCAAGGCAAGCCCATCTGGAATGGCAGCTTCAGCTGGGGCTACTATCTGGGTGACTTTACAGAAATCTTGGCCAACTTCCAAGATGAACCTGCTTTCTGCAGGGACAGACTGCTGAATTAAATGGAAATATGACAAGGTCCACCACTCGAGCCCTTTGCATCCTTAAGAATGACAAAATTATCTGTCATTCCTCCTACTTTGTGATACTGTTTTATATTTACTATCTTGACCAGGAATGGGAACAGGTACAGAGACCTCCACTTGGCCTCTCCTATCATGATAGTTCTTATCTCACAGATAAAAGACCCAATCTGGGTGCTGCATTGACTTCCAAACATTCTATTCCAATCAGGTGTTTGCAAACTGGGCAATGACACAGGGTTACCATTGTGAGCTGGATCCTGACCCAGAATTCTATTTATTATCTGGCTCCCTAGAGCCATCCACTCAATTCTAACAGTGGGGCACAATTATGTTTTGTACATCCAGATAGTAATATCAACTTTGACTCTATGTCCAGCAATACATAATTTATTTATATATCGCCCTTTCCCTGGTCTGCTCCTCCAACTGCTTGTATATTCCAGTTCCCCTTGTTCACATTTACCCATGTGTGGTAAGCATCACCCAAAATGACCACAATGATTCTTGCCTCCTGGTATCCATTCATGTCCTTGTGAAGTCCCCTGCCACACTGAATAAAACAGACCTGTGATCATCTGTGGAAATTACAGTGTGTGACTTCCAAAGTTAGGTCATAAAAGGCACTGTGACTTCCACCGTGCTTCCCCCTGGACACTTGCTCTCGTGTCACAAAGACACCCAAACAGCCTCATGGAAAGGCCCATGTAGCAAGTAATGAAGGGCTTTTGTCAAAAACTGACTGGGCATGTGAGGGAGCTGCCTTGAAAGTGGGTATCCAAGGCCCAACTGAACCTTCAAATGACTGCAGCCCCAGCCCAGGTCTTGCCTGCATCCTCAGACACACCAATGAGCCACCAATTAGCACTATGCAGCTAAGCCACAGAAACCATGTAAGATAAGAACAAACAGAATGAATTAGGCTGCAAAATTTGGGGCTTACTTATTGCACACCATCAGGTAACTGAAATACTGAGTAAACGTGCATAAATTCCCTTGAGAAAATTTATTGAGTCCCCTTGCCATAGAGTTTTGTGGTCCTTTAAGGCGTGGTTCCTTTATCTCCCTTCTCAACCTAAGCATGTCTCTTGCTGTGTTATGCTGGGACAAGCCCTACTTACATGCCAGGAGGGAAACTGGGGAAGACAGCAAGAAAAGCATATTTTGTCTTAGTGAAAATGCCCCTGCAATGTATTCAAATAGAAGACTTAGTGGGGTTTTTTTTGGGGGGGGGGTACTTTTTTTTTTTAAGGTAGGCTCCACACCCAGCATGGGGCCTGAACTCACCACCCTGAGATCAAGACCTGGGCGGAGACAGAGTGGGACGCTTAATCAGTTAACTGAGCCACCCAGGCACCTCAATATTTTAGTTTTTAATAGGGTGGGTTGGCCCAGTTACTTCCGCGTCAGAGGGTTAAGGAGAATCTGTAAATTTCAGATCACGGGGCTTCAATGCAGGTAACTCTATCTATATGCCAGGGTGCCATTCTTTCCCAACCAGGATGATTTTGGTATAGCAGACCTGCCCTGATTGGGAATTCAACCTCCTTTGGAACTCTACTTCCCTGCAGATTAAATCCCAGCCAGACCCTTAGCTCTTCTCCCCCACACCACATCCTTCCCCCTCCACCCCCCAAGATGAAGGCCTCTTTGTTTGCTACCAAGGAGATCCTGAGGGTGGCTTTCAATTGCCAACTGGCCCTCTGCCTTTATCCTTCCCTATGGCGTCAACCCAGCCTAGCACTAGCCATTCAATCCCACAGTTCTCTTTTCCTAATTACTAATTGGTCATGCTTTCCAAAATGATTCACCTAGCGCGCTGCTTAGTGCACTCCCTTCCGTGGGCATCCTATCCCAATTCACCACCAGTTCAAGCTCTAACTTTGGGGCCGCCATCTTGTGCCTGGGCTACCTGAGCTCCACTCCGTTCCACCAGTGACGGCTCCTAATGCCAGCTGGTGGTGAGCTGCGTCCAGAGGCAGGGCATGGCCAAGTGTCAGGGTCAGCCCATCCTTGTAGGTCCCAATGGTGGAAACTGGGCCTCTCCGGTGCCCTCTGTCCCACTGCGTCGGTGGCAGTCTCCGGAGGCACCCCCCGTGGCGGTCTCCAGTCAAGGGTAAGAGGCAGCGCAGGTGGTTACAGCAAGAAAGAAGTTTGTACCCACCTGGAAGTCCGCCCACTCGACTTTCCTTTGGAACCTCTCCGGATCCCCCATCAAGCAAAGGACACAGGAAGCGTCCCGCATCCCGCATCCCGCGCGGCCACCTGAACCGCAGGAGAACGTAGGAAGCCCGGGCCAGACAGCTTCAGATTCCGGTGTCCTGAGGCCTCCTTGGTGCGGGAGCCCTGGGCTCCTGTTCCACATTTTGACGCCCCACGCGACCCCAGAGCCTACGACGCAGCTGAGAAGGGCGACCTGGGGATTGAAAGCACTCTCAAAGGGCCGGAAGGCAAGACTCAGAGCCTAACTGCAGCTCTCAAAGTTTCCTGAGACGCGGGCAGCTTCCTGAGTCACGTGGGGCACGGGCTGAGAAGAGGGTTGGCAGCCTCACACAGGTCACGTGGGCAGGGCCCCCTCCCCCTCACGTTGGATCGCGTGGGAAGCAGGGCCGGCCCAGCTCCCCACGCCTTCTATAGGTCACGTGGTTGGGGTGGGGCCTGCTTCCTGCTAAGGGGAACTTGGGAGATGGGGCGGGGCCTGTCCCTTAAAGGGATCTTGGGGCCGGATCGCTTCATCCTGCTCACGTGGGCAGGACCTCGTTTCGTCAGTTGGGATCACGTGTGAGGTGGCGGTTAGGTCCTGCTCGGCTCACCCCTCGTCTCCTGGTTGGCGACTGTGGTGGGAAGGGCCGAGAAGTAGCCTCGGACTGCAGTCTGTGGGTCATATCAACAGTGCGGGCTTGGAAACCTGGAGGGCTGAGATAGGGTCCCAGGCCTGTTGGAGAGACCGAGGAGGGGGCATGGAGGACCCCGGAGGCGTCTGGACCCTAGGAGGGTCCTTCTGGGAATTGGGCAGAAAGTGCTTCTAAACCTGAGAAAAGGGTTTCTGCGCGCCGCCAAAGTCCCAGCACTTGGCGTAAGAATTAAAGGTGGCCCTGCCCCAGTGAGCAGTTTGAAGACACCTCCCCATCTTTTACCTTGTATTTTGGTTCCCCAGTGGAGTCCCCAAGGGTCTGCAACAGGCCTACTCTGAACCATGTTTTGTAGAGAGAGCAGGTTCTCAACCTTTTCCCCTAAGGGCATCAGGCGCCTGAAAGAAGTAACTACCTCTTAAAAGACGTTTGTCCAGCGCCAGGCACCCTGTCAAGGATTTGCTGTACCTTATTTCCTCCCAAGAGTGCTGCTGGAAGTTCCACACACACCCTTCCTTTTCTCCTGTCTGACCCATATAGTTCTCTCCTACTGGAGCATTCTTTTTAACTTCATTAACGTCCATTAAGGATGTGTTATATATATGGTTCATTCTGAGACCCTGAATGTAAACCATTCCTGTGTACTTCTTAGAATAAAAATATTTGTAGGCAGTGCCTCAGATGCATTCGATGATGATTCTGCGTGAGATAAGACTGCTTCAAAATAGAACAAGGGCTTGGAAATAGGGGTGCACAGATCCACCCTACGGTGACCTATTGAGGATCATGAGGGCACCAGGTGCCCTCTGGGCATTCTTAATGATGTGGTCAATAGATTACAAAGGAATCATTCACTTTTTCATTCATTTTTGTGATGATGATGCTTTCATTTTCTCCTTCAGCCTAACCCCAGCTGTGGCCTTGGCCACGCAAGGACCTGGGCTTGAGGCAGGACTGAAATCAGGGATCAGAGAGGTTAGCCTGGAGGCCACACTCTCACCCCCAGTGGGGGAGAGATGACAGTAGGGGCACCTGCACCCCCATCTGTGAGTTCTCAGACATGTTCTTCCATCCTCTAGGTGTCTAGAATTAGGTTGCACAGACTCTGCTGCTCCCAGGATCCGGGACCGGGACCAGGACACTCCTTACTTCCCTATGTCAGGGACCCCTCCTTTTTGTGGGTCTGAGTGTCTCTGTTAGAACCATCACCCTTGGGTTTTATCTTGGTTTCTTGCTGGCTTAGAGGTTCTGAATCACTTTGTTTCAAAGTGAACATCCCCTTTCCCACTGAGCTCACCGGAGCCCCAACTGTGGCCTTTGAGGACATGGAGAAAGAAAATGTTTAAACATTAGGTGATAAGAAGCACCCTGGGTGAAGATACAGAAGCACCCTTCTTGAGTACCTGTCCAGCTCCCGGCAGAACCCAAGAGATGTTCCTTCTGTGGGCATCCTCGTGGTTACCTCTTGTAAACCAAAAAACCTCAACTAAAATAATTTGCAGCAGCTGAGGCTGGGCACCCTCCTCTGACCTCGGCTCTTACCCAGAACCCCAAACCCCTCTCCTTCACCAGAATAAATCCAACTTCAATAGTCTGCAGGTATAATGTATTCTGTCTTCACAGGGGACAGAGGAGAAGTTCCCAGGGTAATGGCAGTGAGCGAAACC